AGACCACACCCCCTTGATTCTGGATGATGGTTCCATTCGCAATAGACCTCCGACTAGATTTCAGTTTGATGCTTCTTGGCTGTCTGTTGATGGCTTTGTTGACATGGTTGCGGCGAAAATCTCCCAATCCCTCTCTCACAACCCCCGCTCTTTTGGCCCTCTGGATGATTGGCAGTCATGTGCCTATGATTTACGAAAATTTCTTAGAGGCTGGTCGCGTAACCGTGCGGCGGAGGATCGCCGCTCCAAAGCCTTCCTTGAAAATCAGATCTTGGAGCTGGATCGTACTGCGGACTCTATTGGGCTCTCGGATGATGGTTGGGCTGTTCGCTATAATCTGGAGGCCGCTCTTCTGCAGCTGCATCATCAGGCTGAGATTTACTGGCGTCAGAGGGGCACCCTCAATTGGACTCTCAAAGGAGACGCTCCTACTGCTTATTTCTTTGCGATTGCAAATGGTAGGCGTAGGCGTTGTGAGATTAATAGCCTATTGATTAATGGTATGCGCTCTACAGACCAATCTGTGATTATGGCTCACGTGGTGGACTTATTTTCGTCTCTGTTAGGGGCTAAACCTCCATCGGGCCTGTCCATCTCCCCCCACCTCTGGAGTTCTGGTCTTAAAATTTCTCCTGAGGAGAATGCTTCCTTGATGATTCCGCTCTCCGATCAGGAAATCCGGGATGTGGTTAATTCTGCCAATACTAATGCTGCTTCCGGGCCTGATGGCTTCTCCATCCTTTCTTTCGGAAATTTTGGCCCAAGTTGAAACAGTTGGTGTGTAACGTTATTCAGGGTTTTTGTCTTGGTACTGTCGACATCTCTCGCCTGAACTATGTTGTTATATCCCTGATCCCTAAGGTTAAGGGTGCTGATGTCATTTCCCAATTCCGGCCTATAGCGTTGATTAACAACTTTGCCAAGTTCCCTTCCAAAGGATTTGTGAACCGGCTGTCTCCGGTAGCTCACAGAGTTATTAGTCCCTTCCAATCTGCTTTTATCAAAGGGCGCTTTATTTTAAATGGCATTCTCTCCCTTCATGAGATAGTTCATGACCTCCATGTGCGGAAATCCAAAGCTATCATTCTCAAACTAGACTTCGAAAAAGCGTATGACTCGGTTAGCTGGTCTTTTCTCAGGCAGATTCTTCTTGCCAAAGGTTTCGACGGTGCCTATGTTCACCATATCATGCAGTTGGTCTCGGGTGGCCACACTGCAGTTGCCGTATATGGCGCTATTAGCAACTTCTTTGCAAATGGGAGGGGCCTCTGCCAAGGGGATCCGGCCTCCCCTGTTCTTTTCAACTTTGTGGCTGACGCTTTCTCCTGTATGCTCTCCAAAGCGGCTCGATGTGGACACATTATTCCTGTGGTCTCTCACCTACTTCCGGAAGGGGTCTCTCATTTGCAATATGCGGATGCCACAATCATCTTGGTAGAGTTGGACAATGCCTGTATTGCCAATCTGAAATTTATTCTGTTGTGCTTCGAAGCTGTTTCTGGTCTTAAGATCAATTTCGCCAAGAGTGAGGTTATGGTGACGGGGGTTGACCGGGCGGAGGCCTTGCGGGTGGCCAGACTCCTCAACTACTCCTTAGGTTCCTTTCCTTTCAAATATTTAGGTCTTCCTATCTCTCCTGGTCTGCTTCACGCGAAAGACTTCGCTCCGGTGGTTGCTAAAGTGGGGAATAGGGTGCTTCCTTGGAGGGGTAGGTATAATACCAATGCTGGCAAAGTGGCTCTAATCAATTCTTGCTTATCCTCTCTCCCGTTGTTCCTTATGGGCTTTTACCGTCTCACGGATGGTGTGCATGCTGGCTTCGACAAACATAGGGGTGGCTTTTATTGGAATTCTGCAGATAACAAAAGGAAGTATAGGTTGGTTAAGTGGCAGCTTATGTGCAAGCCTAAAAACCTTGGGGGGTTAGGCATTATTAATACTCGGGTGATGAATATTTGTCTGCTCATTAAGTGGTGGTGGAAAATTATGACGGTTGGGGCCGATGTGCTGTGGTTTTCGATTCTTAAGGCTAAATATTTTCCTAACTCCAACCCTATGTTTGCCCCTGCGCGGCGTGGTTCGCAGTTTTGGAAAGCCCTTGTTAAAGTTCGGCCGATTTTTTTGGAGCACGTTAAGTTTTGTGTGGGTAATGGGTCTGCTGTTCGTTTTTGGTTAGATTGGTGGTCCGGGGATGCTCCCCTGGCTGTTAGCTTTCCGGTTCTGTTCTCTTATTGCCCCAATCCGCAAATCTCCATCGCGGAGGTGGCTGCTAATAATTGGGACTTGGCTTTTCGTCGGGCCCTGTCTCCTGAAGAGTTGGAAGAATGGCAAAGTCTTTCTGCCCTCTTCCCTGTGCTCTCAGAGGAGGCTGACTCTGTGGTTTGGCCACTCACGGCCTCTGGGCTATTCTCGGTCAAATCGTTGTATTCTAGACTCATTGGTGGTACTACTTCGGCTCGCTTCTCTTGTATTTGGAAATCTAAGGTCCCTCCTAAGATTAAGATTTTCCTCTGGCAAGCCTTCCGAGGTCGCCTTCCTTCTGCTGATCAGATCAAAAAACGCAATGGGCCGGGCTCGGAATTCTGTAACTTGTGTGGGGCTTTGGAAAACTCTAATCACATCTTTTTCAACTGTGTTCTTGCCAAATTAGTTTGGTCTTGCGTAAGATCATGGCTTCGGGTCTCCTGGGATCCCTCCTCTTTCGCAGACACTAGAACCCTAGCCAAATCTCTGGGAGGGGTCACCAAGAGGGTATTCTGGGTTGGCTTGGGAGCCTTATGTTGGGCTCTTTGGACCATTAGAAACAAATTTACTATTGAACTTACCTTCCCATCTAAGCCTGCTGACGTTCTTTTCAAATCATGTATATTCTTGCAGCAGTGGAGATTATTGACTAAGGAGCCAGATCGGGACGCCCTGGACCTGCTCATCGCCAAAATTCGGGCTTCAGCCTCTCAGATCTCCGGAACGAATCATGGCGTATAAGCCTGGTGCTGTAGTTTGCGGGATTAGGTCTCCTTCTCTCCCCGGCCTGCGTGCCGTGTTTGGCAGCTGCCTGTTTCGTTAGGAATTTGGGCCTATTTTACTTCTCTTTGTGTTTCTGAGACTGTGTGAACCTTGGGTATTCGTGACGCTGCCATGTGGCTTTATTTATAAAGTCGGGCTTTGGCCTTTTCTCTAAAAAAGAGAAACCTTTGCCGCACCCTTTTGATCGGTTGCTTGTAAAGCTTTTGGATGATAGTATGTACATCCATACTTGCTTATTGGCACTCCACTCAGTGGTGCTATGTTCACTTGATCAACACAACCACACCACCGATTACATTGATCTTGGATGACACTCCAACGGTGAGGAAGAGATCCTTATGCATGGTTGGAAGAAATCTTCACATGGCGCGCATAGTGCTCCTCAAGCGTCCTCCAAAATGTTTTCATGGTCTAACCGAGCCATCGAGATTAAAGAGAAATATTCACCCAATAATTGTACAAAGAAACATCCTGCTCGGTCTTGTAGTTCACAGACCTTGTGAGCTTCTTCTTCATAGTTTGTGAATCGAGCTCCTGAATTTCAGGACTCTCTCTCTCCTTCGGTTTCAACCGCCATGGCAATGTCGTAAAGGCCAATTTCAATGTCATCATGAATTCCAGCATGTCATCAATGTTGATTTGCATACTAAAATGGCAACAAAGATCACCACATATGGGAATCGCATGATTCTTCAACTACTTGGAGCATTGCAAGACCGTAGCAAAAACAACTAAAAGGATTCTTCGACTAGCGGCGCGCCTAGCTAGAGCTCACCTCCGATCCTACCACCAGCCACCGTCTGCATGAAGAAGAAGGACACCGGCATGGACTTGGCCGGGCTGTGCACCCGGCACCCCGCCGGCCGGACCTTGATGTTCCTGCTGCAGGCCGCATATGGGCGTCGATGTAGGGGCCAAAATTCATTTTCAAGCTACTCCCATCGTTGTCGCTGCATAAGCAAATCTATGCATGCATGTAAGCTCCAAAATCCATTTTCAAGCTACTCCCATCGTTCCTAAATATAAGTCTGTTAGGGACCACATACACCAGGAGACCGGCAATGGGGGCTCACAAGTCAGGCAGAGCGCGGCGGGTGGAAGCAGCCCAGTACCGAGACGGTCCACACGGGCTAAGAGGCCCAACCCAAGATCCAGTGGGCCAGAGTGGGTGTGACGATGAGGATAAGAAGACACTCGCGTGGGCAGGCGAGGGCATCGGTTGGCAAGAAGCTTACGGCGGCCACTTTCTTCTTTCCTGTTCTTACTTCCTTCCCAAGGACTCTGTCTATCCCTGATCCCCAAGTTCTTGTATCTCCAAACTGTAATCAAATTGCTTCAGAGAATGTAGATCAAGCTTGTTAATAATTGGTATCAGAGCTGGGCCCCAGTCCGCCCTATTTAGGGGGATGGGGTGTCAGAGACGCTGGCCATTGGGCGTTGCCAGTGACTTTAGTCCCACCTCGGATATGGAAGGGGGCTAGGACTACTTTATAAGGAAGAGTGCACACTCTCTTCATGCTAGTCTTTTGAGATGTGGTGGACTCTTTGCTTATAGTGGTGTGTTCGATGCGTACAGGAAACGTCCGAACATATGTCAAAGGTTGGGAGCTGGGCCTGGGACGTTAACAAAGTCTTTTTTAAAAATATGAATGTATATAAACATATTTTAGAGTGTGGATTCACGTATGTAGTCCGCAATGAAATCTCTAAAAAGATTTATATTTAGAAACGAAGGTAGTAGATGAAACTGGTCACCCGCAAAAAAAAGTAGATGAAACTGGTAATACAAGAAAACACCAAACACACGCGCTTACATGCATGCATAGAATCGATCTTCTTTCCTTTCGTTTGTGTGTGATTGAGACGTCTAAGTATGTGCAAATTAAGCACCTGCTCGATCTGTGTATGCTCGCGCAGATTCCTCTCGGTTCTGCATGCAAGCCGCTCCTGCTAGCTAGCTGCGCGCCTAGAGCTCACCTCCTACCGCCAGCCGCCGTCTGCGAGAAGAAGAAGGACGCCGGCGTGGACTTGGCCGGGCTGAGCACCCGGTACCCCGCCGGCCGGACCTTGATGTTCCCGCTGCCGGCGCGCTGCAGGCCGCATATCGGCGTCGACGGTGCCGAGGCGACCTCGTCGTCGTCGTCGTGGTGGACGTCGTGGTCCATGTGCCAGAGCACGTCGAGGAAGGCGTCGACGGCGCAGGGCAGCGCGAGGGGCCCCTGCGCCGCGTAGCCATACTCCTGCTCGGCGTCGTCGAGGAGGCGGCGGAAGAGCGGGTGGTTGGCGCGGTCGGCGCGCACCACGAATCGCTCCCGCTCCGGGCCCACGTACACCGAGAAGCACCCCGGCGCCACCGCCGCCGACGACCGGCCGCCGCTGGCGAGCCCGGACCTGCACCGCTCCAGGGTCCTCGACACCAGGTTCTTCCTCGCGCCTTTGCTCGCCGCCATGCCGCCCGTGAACGTCGACCGACTCAAGAGGGAGCGGGCCAAGAGTGGTGGATGCGCCGGCGGATTGTAAGGATGATGGCATGCATGAGAGGAGGGGGCCGGCCGGGTTGTGTGTATATATATGGGTACAAGCTAAGCAAAAGGTAGGTGTAGCAGCTAGCAGCTAGCAGAAGACGGAGGGCGACACGGCGTGCGGTGTGACATGGTGGGCTAGCCCCATTAGTTGACCTGATGCGAGGGCATGCATTGACTTATGACTCGTCGCGAGCAGCAGCGCAGGGTCATATGGTGCAGGACGATCGAGGAGGAAGGCAAAGGTGGAGATGTACTCCTGCACTCTAAGTACTAATATACTTAGGGTAATTAACTACTGACTTATTGCTGGGCCGGCTAATTAACTCAGTGGTTAGCAATATGTTTCAAAAAAAAAACTAAGTGGTTAGCAATAGATACTCAGCTAGAAGTATATGAGTAGTACTGGCCATGCATGTGCATCGACGGAGAAAAGGAAGCAAGTGGATTTTGTGATTGCAGCGGCTGGGGAAAAAGCTAATCAGGGAAAGGTACGTGGTGTGGGGACTTCATCCGGGTGGGATATATCAAATGGGCAATAATTGCCTTAGTTTAGTGGTCGACGCCATGGTCAACGCCTTCCGAGTGTGATGTGGAAGAAGCTCTGCATTTGCATGGCTAGGGTTTTGCTATGGCTACACAAGCACCAGCTCGTGGATCTCTTGTGCGTAAAGATCCATATTTCAGTGGGGATTACATTATTAGGAGTATATATTCCACTTTCAACTCTCGTGTTGTGACTTTGTGACATCTTTTTTTATCACATTTCAAAAATCTTGTCTGATTCTGCACCTTAGTTGTGCTCTTGTAACATGTATTTTCACCTACTTCTGTTTTCACCCCCAATGTTAAAGCTGAATTCACTTTCTTTTCTGTTTTGAAGAAGTACCCATACATATTATAAAGGTTCATAAGAAGTACTACAAAGCATCCTAAACATAATAAAAATTATATCAAGGACCATGCACCACTGAGGGACCAATGTTGCCGCCAGAGCGAGTCGCTGATGCGTTCCTGTCACCGCTCCCTACCGGAGCTGGCTTGACTTTGTCAATGACAGTCGAAAAATCTTCGTGCATGTGCCCATGAGGACCAACGCCCCAGAAAGCAGACGTTGCCATTAAACCCTTGAATCGGTCTGAAGTGCCCGCCATCAAATCTCATTACATGTTTTTGCTATACATGCGCCAGCTACTGGGACGCACAAAGATCGATATTCCAGTGGTGATCAGTATCTTCTACTTTCTATTCTAGTGTTGTGAGTTGTGACTTTGTGACATATTTTATCACATTTACGAAATCTTGTCAGATTTGGTGACATGTATTTCTTACCTAATTTTGTTTTTACCACAAACGAAAAGCTAAACCCACTTGTTTGGACAGTGGAGGCGGTTCGAATACATCCAACAACTCTATCACGTCTTAGTTAGTATGGTCGTCGCGGAAGACACCAATGGATGTGTGGTGTTTTGGTTCTCACTAGTAAGCTTGCACGTGCAATGCACGTCTTAAACATTGATCAAAGTTGATTTCACACAAATACAAAATAAATGTTCCAAAAAAGTATTAAGTTAAATGGGGACACACTGTTTTTCAAGTTGACATAGTTGTGGTCATGTTGTTGCATAATATATGTTGTTTCATCCATTAGGTGTTCTGATTGGTTGTTAAAGAAGATTAAATTTTGTGACGACTGAAAAGGCAACCTCACATAGAATATATCAATGGCACCATGATATCAACACCAACAAAATTTTCTTAAGGCATAGAACGTTTGTTACAACTGTTAGCTGATAAAAAAAAGTATCATTAAAATTTATTTGAATCCACTATATCTTTTTATTAAGGAAATTAATGATAATGAAATATCATCAATCCACGATATATATTAGATTGCCTAGTTTATCATTTGTGAGTGTATACACGCACGCAAAGATATGCTTGAGTGATGATCTAAGAGCAAGGGCAGTGAGGATAACAGTGCCACCCGTAAAAAAAACAGTGCCACCTGTCAGCAGAGCCATTGCCTTAAATTTCGCTCTGACTGGATCATTACAAACTATGTTCTGCTTAACTTCGCATGCTCACGGGCAGGTATAGAACTTTGAAATGAATTCTGTATTACTTCATAAATGAATATCACATCTCAAAAAACAATCCAATATACACACAAAAGCAGTAGGTTCTCAAAATGAAGAAATGCCATCTAATTTCTTTGAGAGAGAAAATAAATGCCATCTACTTGTCGAGCGGAATAAATTCCATCTTGAAGTACCAATTCTTATTTTGATTGGAGCCCTACTTCTGAAAGCGTTTGAAGAACTTAGATGCCATCCTTTTGAACATCCTAAGATCACATCTCCATTGCGTCTCGCATATCAGATTTTGCAATCAAATTATACTCCCTCTGACCCAAAATAACTGTCTCAAGCTTAGTAGTACAATTTTGTACTAAAGCTAGTACAAAGTTGAGACACTTATTTTGAGATGGAGGGAGTATTTATCAAAGAAATGTTAATTGTGTTAAAGCAAGCTCTGCAAATGGATAAGTCAATTGTTTGTTCATTTGTACACTGTACAACATATGAAGCATGTTTGAAATTCCAAATAGCACGACCAACCTTCTTAGAATAACTTAGTTCCTTTAAGCAATACATGTAGTGGTAAACATATCGGGCAATATTAAACATGCAAAAGAAATAAAAAGGGAAGTCATTTTTTCTTCTTGAAAATATTCATCATCTTCGTAAAAAATGCCATTCTCTATTTTTAAAAAAATCATGGTGCCGAAGTTGACTTAATGAAGAATATTGTTAGAATGAGATTGTGATGTTCTTTTAGTGGACATCTGGAAAACTTGTAGATAGTTTAACCATTTTTGTTTTCTTCTATTTCAAAAACAATGCTGGTGCTAGACTTGGAGTGCTCATATAGCATCTCGAGATACTGGAACAATACGTCCAAAAATACCCTTTATCTCACAAGTGGTAGTATAAAGTAATTACATACAGTAGTGACATACAAGTGTTACCAGTGGTGCATAAATAAATTTCTGAATTAATAAATCCTTCAGTGTAAAGTTATTGGAAGTCATTAATTATAGATGTTACGTGAACCAGAGGTATGTGCATGTGAAGGGACGCGGATTTTTGGGACATGCGGCCACGCGATGCCGCTATCCCAGGCGTCCGTGCGCGCATCGTGATCCCTAGTTAATATAGCCCCATTGGCAATACACGTCGCGTTAATAGTTTGTCCTTCGAATAGATCGTGATATACATCACATGAGCAGGCTGTACCGCATTTATGATTCATAGGAATACATGCAAGTCTGCCAGCACTGCGCGTCACAGTTCTGGAGATGCCTTCATTCCTGTTGACGTGGGGCAGTCATCATTTAGCACCACCCTCTCTAGTCCCAGCCCTGTAGTAAAACAGAAGGAGGAAACGTAACAGAGCTAAAACAACGGAGGGCTGGGACATGGCTTCTGCACAAACGGTGCTCAACAGGTTGGTCAATAAAAAAATCCTTGATTCCGTCATTTTTTGTTTATTTCGGTACAAGCGTGCGAGCTGGGTGTCATGATGGGCTGCAGACTACTCCCTCTGTTCGGAATTACTTGTCTTGGAAATGGATGTATCTAGACGTATTTTCGTTCTAGATACATCCATTTTCAAGACAAGTAATTCCGAACGGAGGGAGTACACGAGAGCTGGGAAAATTGATGGGCGCAGAGGAGTTGAGTCTCATTAAAGGCTTGTCCATTTGTGATTTATGGACTGCCAATGGCTGTGGTGCACACGTAAATGGCGGTATGAATGACGTCCCTGATGTTTGCTGTATTTGGATCTGTTTTGCAGCGTGTCTCGATGGAGAGCCATTTTGGGACCGGCGTTTTAAAATTCAAGTTGTATCTTTCATGATTAGAGTTAACGATGAAGAATGAAGCCAACTGATTTTTTCGGTTAGAAACTGATACATATAAGGATTTTCAGTTGTTAATCAGGAGTTCAAAACATGTGCCGAAATTAAAATACCACACTTTTCAAGTGAACAATGCTGGGTGGATAAAGTTGGTGTGATTATGCCAGAGTGCAAGCTTCTGGTGTAATTAACGGTTCACGACATGCTCCTAATATACGCTTGATAAATGAAAGCCATTAATCATTCGTGGGTGCCTTGATTGCTGGCAGGGATTTACAGTGTGAGTAATAGTTAAAACAGCCAGCCAATACTGGATCGTACATTGATATGCATTGAGTAGCTTGGTCCAAACTTAAATTACTAGCTATTACTACATCAACGACCTTGGTGGAAAAAAAACATTACTGACTGATGCATTGCTGGCTTGGATCCAGAAAAGGTCGAAATTGAAAGGTAAAAGAAGTAGACAGTTGGTGAGCAGATCAGCAAGGCAAAACATGGTTATCTTCTTCAGCAAAGCTTGATTATTTTCGAGAATCTGAAAGGTAAACAAAGTAGACAGTTGACTGCGATATGAGAAGAACTTATGTAGTTCCCACTTCCAGAACCTGCACCCCATTTTTTCAGCCTCGTCAGTGCACGAAATGGATTGAAAGATCGAATATGAACTCACAACATGGCAATCACACTTGTAGAAGTTCCTCCCCGGGTTGAGGGCAGTGCCCGAAATGAACCAGAGCAGCGAGAGTGATGAGAGGGAGACGTGCAAACTGTTGGACATGACGGATGAAGGTGGTGGAGAGCTAGCCTGGGACATGGATGAACACATGGTTGCGGAAGGGATCGATTCGATGCTAGAAAGTGTGTGTGTGTGTGTGTGTGTGTGTGTGTGTGTGTGAGAGAGAGAGAGAGAGAGAGAGAGAATAGAGTGGAAGAAAATTGGGCAGGGGAAGAAGAAGAAGGCCAGAGTGATTTAAAGAGGAGAAAGGAGAGGAGCATGCTG